AGGAAGTTGAGCGGGGACCGGAGAAAGAGGGCTAAGCAAGAGAGAGAGGACAGAGAGGCAGAGGATCAGCAGAGCTGGAGGACCAGAGCAGGAGAAACTATTAATGTCATATGTGTTGTGCAGCATGAGAGCAATATAGTGGGAGGTAAGAAGGGAATGGAGAGAGAGGACTGAGCAGCTGAGGATCAGCAGAGCTGGGGGACCAGAGCAGGAGAAACTAACAATGTCACATGTGGTGTGCGGCGTGGGAGCAATATAGCAGGAGGTGAGCGCGGACCGGAGAGAGGAGACTGAGCGAGAGAGAGAGGACTGAGCGAGAGAGAGAGGACTGAGCGAGAGAGAGAGGACTGAGCGAGAGAGAGAGAGGCTGAGCAGCAGATGATCAGCAGAGCTGGGTGACCAGAGCAGGACAAACTAGCAATGTCACACGGTGTGCAGCGTGGGGAGCAATATAGCGGGAGGAGGATTAGCAAAGCTGGGGGTTTCTACTGAGTGGGGGATCAGCACAGCTGGGGGTACTACTATGCAGGGGATCTGCTAAATGAGGGTACCAATAAACTGGGGCTCTGTTGAACGAGGGTACCAATGAGTCGGGGATCTGCTGAACGAGGGTACCAATGAGCTGGGAGCTCTGCTGAACGAGGGTAACAATGAGCTGGGAATCTGCTGAACGAGGGTAACAATGAGCTGGGAATCTGCTGAACGAGGGTAACAATGAGCTGGGAATCTGCTGAACGAGGGTAACAATGAGCTGGGAATCTGCTGAACGAGGGTACGAATGAGCTGGGAATCTGCTGAACGAGGGTACGAATGAGCTGGAGATCTGCTGAACGAGGGTACCAATGAGCTGGGGATCTGCTGAACGAGGGTACCAATGAGCTGGAGATCTGCTGCACGAGGGTACCAATGAGCTGGGAATCTGCTGAACGAGGGTACCAATGAGCTGGGAATCTGCTGAACGAGAGTACCAATGAGCTGGAGATCTGCTGAACAGGGGAATTAATGAGCTGAGGATCTGCTGAGTGGAGGGCACCACTGAGCTGGGTTTCTACTGGGCCCCTTTAAAACAAAATAGAAAATCAACACATGCAAGGCAGCTGCCAAGCTGCATTAAAGCTTCAAAAAAAGCATACCTGAAGCCACAATAACACATAAAAAGGCATGTTGAAGCGATAGCCGCCTTAATGTGTTGAAGTTGAAGCAAGCGTAAATGAGCCCTAAGTGAGGCCACATACATTGGGCCATATAGAGTACCGTCATGACCGCTTCCTCAGCCTCCTTTCCCACAATCCCTTGTAACTGGACACATAGTTTCATGAAGCTTTATGATTAACTTACCGCCTCTCTTTTTTTTCCCATAATCCCCTGCAATTGTAAATGAGAACCCTGTGCTGGCATATATCACAGAGCGCCCGTATCTGATTTCCTCGTCACTCCAGGCGTCGCCGATTATAAACGTCCCTATTTGATGGTGGGGTTTGTCTTTCCAAGCGAAAAAGAGTCCGACGTCCTTGAGGGCTGAGCAGGAGATGAGCGGCTGTGTCTCAAACGCCGGAGAATTTACGAGGAGAAGCAAAGATTAAGGAGATAATATTCAAGTCAGCAACGTTTATTGCCGCGCTATAAAAAACTACAGGAAAAGCCTGATGTGGCGGAAGATAAATCAGAGAGCCGCCGTTTTTATGTCGCTCTCTATTAGCGGAATTATCAGGATAGGTTCATCATGGGAAGGATATTAGCAGGAGACTAGAATGGGGTAGGGAAGCCCACCCAGAGGTGTTCCTGTAGTCAGGGTGGGTGCGATCACACACTGTCGTTAGAAGGTCTCGAAATTCCACCAACGTTCTCCTTTCACAGTTTGATTTTTATGTTTTATTTACAACATGGAGAATGCAGTAGGTGGAAGGAGAGGTTTCGTTGCGGCAGGAGGAGTGGACTTCATGGATGGGGGAACCCTGTTAACCATGTACAGGATGCCAGGGATGGGCCCTGGATAGGAGACCTGTGTCCCTATTATTTGGATTGCAACCCTTTCGCTGCCAGAGCAGTTTTTTGCTTTTTTTTTATGTGCATACATGCTTAAAAAAATCTTTTTAGGCCTGACGATTACATTATTATTATTATACAGGATTTATATATTATTATTATTATACAGGATTTATATATTATATATTATATATTATACAGGATTTATATATATATTTTATTATTATTATTATTATTATTATTATACAGGATTTATATATTATTATTATTATACAGGATTTATATATATTTTATTATTATTATACAGGATTTATATATTATTATTATTATACAGGATTTATGGCGCCAACAGTTTGCTCAGCGCTTTACAATATAACGGGAGACAATACAGCAACAATACAGTTCAATACAAGAGGGATAGGAGGGCCTGATCCTTGGAGCTTACAATCTAGGAGGGAGGGGCTAGTGGTACAAAAGGTAGTAACTGTAGGGGATGGACTGGTAGGAATAGAAGATTCCATTATTAGCTGAGGGCAGGATAGGCTTCCCTGAAGAGATATAACCCCCCCCCCCCCCCACCCAACAAAAAAAAAAAATTACATATTTTCTTAGTAATTAAAAAACACTTACGAGCCGCCCCATAGCAGATATACGGCTACAATTCAGGTCTGCAGGGGAAAATCACGTGTGTATATATATATATATATATATATATATATATATATATATATATATATACACACATACATACACACACATACATATACATATATATATATACATATATACACACATATACATATACACACACATGCATATATATATATATATATATATATACACACACATATACACACGTGATTTGCAGTTCTGGGTAGGTAGCGCATGCGTGCGCACCACCCTGACCGCTTCACTTTTGGCAGCTAGGGATGTCAATCGGGCAGCACAGTGGCTAAATGGTTAGCACTTCCGCCTGGCAGTACTCGGGTCATTGGTTCGTATCCCAGCCACAGCACCACCTGCCTGGAGTTTGCATGTTCTCCCTGTGCCTGCGTGGGTTTCCTCCGGGTACTCCGGTTACCTCCCACACTCCAAAGACATGCTGGTAGGTGAATTGGCTCCTGTATAAATTGGCCCTAGTATGTGTATGTATGAATGTAAGTTAGGGACCTTAGATTGTACGCCCCTTGAGGGTTAGGGACTGATGTGAATGTACAATATATATGTAAAGCGCGGAGTACATTGATGGCGCTATATAAGTACCTGAAATAAATTTAAAAAAATGTAAAAAAAAAAAAAAAAAAAAATCAATGGGTCCTGGCCAGAGATTCCCCACCAGCACGTGGCGATCGTCAGGGAAAGCCGACAAGGTGGAGACCCTTGTGTACACAACAGCCAGCAGGGACATGCTGCTTTGTATTTCTCTGCACAGCATGTCTCCCTAGTAAAACATGTTAAACAGCACACAGTTAACCCTTTGATCGTCCCAGATGTTAAAGGAGACTCCTGCACTAGGTCCCAACGCACGATGTACATTTTGTTGTGCTGTGACGCATGCATAATAGCAGGGGTGGACTGACAACTCATGGGGCCCCCGGGCAATAGGGGATCATGGGGCCCCCGTGTGCTTGCCCACACCCAAAAAAGCCTATGACAAAGCCAACAAAAAGGTACCAGGGGAATCTCATGGGGCCCCCTACTGACCCTGGGCCCTCCGGCAGTGCCCGAGTGTTCGAATGGTCAGTCCGCCCCAGCACAATAGTATGAACGAGCCCTTATTCCATCTTGGCTTTGGATATACGGTTTCACGTTGAAAAATGACTTCATTAAACCCGCTCTCACAATTTATAGCAACTGGCCTCAGTATGAATCAGTGACATAGCAATTCCCGTAAAGCACGGCCAGCCTGTACAAGCCGTATATATCAGCGTGACATTACAGAGAGAGTGCGACTCCGCGTTCTTTCCCATGTCCGCGACACATCGGCTGCATGTTGGGGCAGGCTGGGCTTTCGGCTAAACAGAGTTACGTCATTCCGTCTGAAGATGACATTCCCCGGAACCAGAATTTCAGGTTCTAGGAGAAAGGCAACCAGAACAAACTGATTTTGCTCCGATAAGAGGAGCGACCTAGCCCTTATGAACCGAATGAGACCGTTGTGAGCATAGATCTGACAAATCAAAACCAATCCAATTATAAAACAAAAATTACAGAACACTATGGAGCTGCTGAAATCATTCAATACAACAGTCATTCTATCTATGCTCCCGGCAGTGGCAGAGCAGCTATTAGGCTGATACCTTCAAAAATGAGGTCATTGAGCAGAACAGGTATTCATGTGTCATTCCGTCTATCGTAAAAAGGGGGTTAGGTTCCATTTGAAGTCAACTTAAGAGATACATTCGTGCTTCCAAACTAAAAATTCTTCCATAGGGTGTGCACCAAGTATAGTCCCTCTAATCCATCTCTGGATTCCAGAAGCACAGAGCACACATGGGGCCATCATTTCCACCTGACCTGAAGTCTATCTAAACCCAACTTTTTGTTTTGCATGTGCCTAACTGTATGAAACATAAAATATTTTCTACAATGGTCAATCAATCTGAATCCTGGTTCCTCCCTTGATGTAACATCTTTGGCCATGATGAGGGGGGCTCAGTCTGGCCCCTGAAATGTGTTGACTTGCTACTTTGTAGTAAATGGCCTTGGATTGTAAATGTGGTACTCCCATTCATCCACTGTTCCTTTAGGGCTGTGGTCTTCAAACTGTGGCTCTTTGTTTGCTCTTATCTGGCCTTTTGGGGCGCAGTTCCACTCACTGATATGAAGAACTATTCCTCCAACTGATACAAGGCATTATTCCTTCCACTGACACCAAATGATGGGCCACTATTTCTTCCACTGACACCAACAATGGGGCACTATTCCCCCCACTGACACCAACAATGCGGCACTATTCCCTCCACTCATACCAACAATGGGGCACTATTGCCCCCACTGACAACAATGGGGCACTATTCCCCCTACTGACATCTACAATGGGGCACTATTCCCCCTACTGACATCTACAATGGGGCACTATTCCCCCTACTGACATCTACAATGGGGCACTATTCCTCCCACTGCCACCAATGATGGGGCACTATTCCTCCCACTGCCACCAATGATGGGGCACTATTCCTCCCACTATATTGGGGCACTATTCCTCCCACTGCCACCAATGATGGGGCACTATTCCTCTGGTTGACACCAATGATAGGGCACTATTCCTCCGGTTGACAAAAATGATGGGGCATTTTAACTCCCACTGACACCAATGATGGAGCACTATTCCTTCTCTTATTGACCACAAGCAAATTTTTGAACACCAAACCAGATACATTGTCTACTCCTACTTGCCACAGTCTGGTCCACTGGCCTTTTCTTTAGAAAGTTTGGAGACCCCGGCTTTAGGGGAAAAAAATATATACAAAACAAAAGGTTTTGACTTTAGATGCTACTCATTTGATAAGCTAAGCCACATCATTCCAAATCCAAGCCCTTTATGGGCCATTGTGACACCAAGAACTCTTGGTTTGTAGAACAGAGGCAGCCTAAAATACAGAGCCGTGTATCCATCTTGTATACTGCTGTTCCAGCTTCTTTGATCTTCCCAGTGCAACGGTTTCAACAGATTAGGGCTCATGGAGCTAAGAGGTAGGATAACCAGTCTTGGCGCCTGAAGGAACCATAAAGCTCTCCACTAAAATGCTATGAAAAACAGCTTTGTGGTCCTCTAATACTGGGTTTCTCAACCGAGGTTCAATGGAACCCTAGGGTTCCTCTTAAGGTTACTAGGGGTTCCTTGTGCTGGGGCTGATTGACCACCCATTTGATGGGGCCCAACAACAGAACAGCCATACTCAACCAGGGTTTCATGGTTCCCTAGGGTTCCTCCAGAGTTTGCTAAAGGTTCCTACCTTTGATCTTTTCAGTTACCTGTAAGGAGGTAATTCTTCTCAATGTGATGGAAATTCTTCCATCACAAACTGAGGTGATTGTAGCTGTATTGTTTCCAACACAACCTAAGAAACCAGGGGTATCTTTTTTTGGACAAATCTGATAACCCGAAGCGAAGAGGTTTTAACCAGAAAAAACGTCTTTGCTTTCTTTTCATCAAAGACAATTTCCAACCATGAGGACTAGTGATGCATTTCGGTGCCCAGAAATGGAGTCTGGCTTCCCATGGTAATCCCTCTGTACAGCGGCTCTTGTAGTTGGGTGCCAAGTCATCGAGACACTCTGAGACGTGCTGGAGAACTATCAAAATAAAACCCACCCGCCACAATGCGGAGGGATAGACACGATGTTCTGTACGTGATTTTCGCAATGTCCTGTGCCAGCTCAAGAGAAGTAGGTCATACTGCGGCTCTGAGATATTTGTAGTGACGCACCTGTCTCCGAGCCGGGATATCCTTAAGCCTGCTCTGCTGGAAGCCCTTAAGGAATGACGCTGTCTTAGAGGAGGATTAGACTATGGACCTGAATGAACTTTGGACAACAGCGCATGAACAAAAAATCAAAGCCCAATACACTTTGTAATTAAATGTATCCATTAAAGAGATACAGATTTCCTATAATTAACAGCAGCGAATTCTAAAAATTAGGTAAAAAAATAGTCACATCTCAAACACGTTCAAAGAAAAAATGGTTTATGGCCAGATTGTAGATTATCCAAAATGTCAAGGTAGCCTTGGAGCACCTCAAAGATGGCAGCCGATCTACTAGCAAGTTACTTACTTATAATAAGACTCATCCACCTTACCAGCCGCTCCGTTTCTGCCACCCCCCTCTGCCAATCCCTTCACTGGCTTCCGATTGCACAACGGATCAAATTCAAAATGCTAACACTGACGTACAAAGCTGTCCACCATACTGCCCCGAACTACATCACCGACCTAATATCCAAATACCACCAAAAACGCACTCTCCGCTCCTCACAAGATCACCTCCTCTCTAATTCCCTGGTCTCCTCCTCCCATGCCTGCCTCCAGGACTTCTCCAGGGTGTCACCCATCCTCTGGAACTACCTACCCCAATCCATCAGACTATCACCTACTCTCCTCTCCTTTAGGCGCACCCTGAAAACCCACCTCTTCAGGGAAGCCTACCCCCCCCTTCTCCTGCTAATTGCCGATCTCCTCCACTCTTCCTACCACTCCATCCCCTACAGCTTTTCCTCCCGTACCACTATCCCCTCCCTCCTAGATTGTAAGCTCCAAGGAGCAGGGCCCTCAAACCCCTCGTGTATCGCATTGTACTGTCTCATGTATTGTCTCCTATTGTAATGTACAGCACTGAGGCGCTATATAAATATGTATAATAATAATAATAATAATAAAGCAACCCTTCACAACCTTTTAACCCCAGAAGAACCCTTGAAATAATATTCAGATTTCAGAGAACCCATGCTAAAATTCATTTACTGGGGTTCAGTGGAACGAATGCCCTTACCAACAGTGGTAGTCAGTGGGAAGAATGCCTCTTCCTTTGGTGGTCAGTACAAAATAATGCCCACTTAGCAGTGGCGGTCATAATGTTACCATTCTAGACAGCTAAAAAGACCTACCAAGTGGCATTGGATCAAGAATTATACAGGCACCATCAGATGGGAGGGCAGTTAACCACAGCTCAAGGAAACCCTAGTAACATCTGAAAAAACCCTAAAGGTTGCATGGAACCCTGGTCAAGGATGGCTATAAAACTGTACAATTTACAGTAGGAGCACTGGACTCCAAGGTGACCAGAAATCACTGACGAAAAGGGGGAATCCTTTTGCCTCTGCTCTTTATATCACACAAGGTCCCCAAAGAAAGTCTATAGGGCAAACCAAAAGAACCACAACAACGGAATACATCCAGTAGAAGATTTATTAAACATGATACAAACGTTTGTACTAATGCCATTAGGGGCTCAAAATTCACACTTCAAGGATTTATGTAAGGATGGATTCAAGGACTTAACAGACATAAAAATAAGTGGAATGACTGGCATATCATGCGAATGCTGCACTGGTCCATAGGATATCCCGGTCACTCCAAGTTTTTGGGTCCAGTATATCTTTGGATCCATCTCTACATAAAGTCCTAAGGAAGGGGGACTTTCAAGCCCCCAAAATGAATTGGATACCCACTTGTATCGTGCAAGTACAGCAAGATTTAACCAAACGTTTGGACAAGCAACTGTGGTTGCCGGTTACTCATTTGTAGCACACAATACATAAATGGCACAAGAATGGCACCATGGCACAAGAGCTTGCTTTTATTTCTGGTTCAAGCCCACTCAAATATAACACACTGAGATGAAAGCTGGCCACACACAAACCCTAATTCTTTTGGTTTTTTTGCCTGACGAATAACACAAACTTGTGATAAGACTTAAAGCGGAGTACCACTTTATTTTGCAACCACGGCAGCATGCCTGTGCCATTAAATTTTGGATACTGTAATTATTTTTCTGTTTAGTTTTAGTATCTTTAGATGGAAATAAAATAATTGCTTCACTTCCGTCCTACCTCACCGCGTCGAGATACGTCATTTCCAACCTCCGCTGGCTCCTGGGATACCAGTGTCATCAGTCCCAGGAGTTGATGGATTGACCGGTTGCCACAACAGGGCAGGAACTTCCTCAGAGGACACCACTGCTGTGGCAACCTGCAATACACATAGTGCGCCTCGATTAGCGCCCACTGCACATGTGCGAGATCAGGGAGGCGCTAGGTGGTCAGCTACATCTAATCCTTGAAGAAAGTCCTAGTGGGGGTGCTGTAAGTAATGCTGAATTGTATTAAAAAGGAGGAGGAGGAGGAGGAGGAAGAGGGGAAGAGGAGGAGGAGGAGGAAGAGGGGAAGAGGAGGAGGAAGAGGGGAAGAGGAAAAAGAGGAGGAAGAGGAGGAGGAGGAAAAGGAAGAGGAGAAGGAGGAAGAGGAAGAGGAGGAAAAGGAAGAGGAGGAGGAGGAAGAGGAAGAGGAGGAGGAAGAGGAGGAGGAGGAGAGAGGAAGAGGAAAAGGAAGAGGAGGAGGAGGAAGGAGGAAGAGGAGGAGGAGGAGGAAGAGGAGGAGGAAGAGGAGGAGGAAGAGGAGGAGGAAGAGGAGGAGGAAGAGGAGGAGGAGGAGGAAGAGGAGGAGGAGAAGGAGGAGAGGAGGAGGAGGAGGAGGAGGAGGAGGAGGAGGATGAAGAGGAGGAGGAAGAGGAGGAGGAGGAGGAGGAGGAGGAGGAAGAGGAAGAGGGAAGAGGAAGAGGAGGAAAAGGAAGAGGAGGAGAGGAAGAGGAGGAGGGAGAGAAGAGAGGAGGAGGAGGAGAGAGGAGGAAGAGGAGAGGAACAGGAGGAGGAGGAAGAGGAAGAGGAAGGAGGAAGAGGAGGAGAGAGGAAGAGGAAGAGGAGGAGGAGGAGGAAGAGGAAGAGGAGGAGGAGGAAGAGGAGGAGGAGGAGGAAAAGGAGGAAGAGGAGGAAGAGAAGGAGGAGGAAGAGGAGGAAGAGAAGGAGGAGGAAGAGGAGGAAGAGGAGGAAGAGAAGGAGGAGGAAGAGGAGGAAGAGAGGAGGAGGAGGAAGAGAGGAGGAGAAGGAGGGAGGAAGAGGAGGAGGAAGAGGAGGAAGAGGAGGAAGGAAGGAGGAGGAAGAGGAGGAAGAGGGGGAGGAGGAGGAGGAGAGAGGGAAGGAGGAGGAGGAGGAAGGAAGAGGAGGAAGAGAAGGAGGAGGAAGAGGAGGAAGAGAAGGGGGGAAGAGGAGGGAGGAAGAGGAGGAAAAAGAAGAGGAAGAAGGAGAAGAAGGGGAGGGGGAAGGGGAAGGAGAGGAAGAGGAAGGAAGAAGAAGGAGGAAGTAGAAGAAAGAATAAGAAGAAAGTAGAAGAAGGAAGAAGTATATAGAGTATGCCGATTTAGAGTATAGTTGCAGAGACAATCGCAGGGGTGATTTTTAAAAAGAAAAAATGTCAAGATCACTGGTGCTCCACTTTAAAGATCTAAAGGCAAAACTTTTTTCCCCATTGTGGAAAGAGTAAGCGTGGGTTAATAACCCCCTTTTTCTTTTCTTGCCATTTGTGTCCTATCAGAGAGATTTCCCATCGCCTCCTATCTTGTATTCGAAACGGGAAGTGAGCGGAAATCCCTCCAAAGTGAGGGAATCCCTGGTTGTCACCAGAGATAGTATCTCCATTGAAGGATTTCCCCTCTATTCTTGCTCTGGTGACAACCCAAAGTTTGAGGTTTTTCCTTTACTTTCCACAGAACAAATAGAAAGGGTGAATCTCCCTAACAGGGACACAGACATCTATTTCCCCTCCACTCTATGGAAAACTAACATATAATTGTTTAACACAAGTCCACTTTCAGCCCGTGTTCACACTGATGCAGTGCAGAATTCACAACGGTTTCTGTGCGAT